TTTGAAAAGTCTTTTCAAGCTTTTTTATATAGTGAAAATTATGCTACATATAAAATCAGATGAGCTGAATGTATTACATTATAAACCGATTGAATAACTTAGAGAAACTGTAGTTTATTTAAATATTTATTTTTCCATTAATGGATACTTAATCTTAATCCACATTTTTGGTGTTATAAATGAGACAATGGTGAACACCTTTGACCATCAATCTTTTGCCACATTTCAGATTATTAGAAGCTAGGTTCTTGAAATGGAGTTTAAATACTCTTTTGTCTTGATTTTTCAAACGTATACCATAATATTTTGTCCACAGTATCATTGCCAATAGCACTAGCATTGTTAATCATTTATTGAGTGCCTATAGCATGCCTTGTAAGATAATCTTTCTTTAAGTTGCTTACATTCTAGAAGGAAGGAGAAGTGACTTAAAGAAATAGGATTGAAAAGAACCAAAGAAATGGTACAGGATTCAATTTAACCTACCGTGGCTAATGGTGGAGTTGGCAGATAACCTTGAACCAATAATATTTTGCAGTAGTTTTAAACATAGGCATGATAATAATACATGTAAATAGTTATAAATACTTGCCATATATTTCTATAATATGTTGTGGATCAAGAGTTAATAAAACCCTTTCCACTTCTGCATGAGATTCTAACCTTCAGCTAATTTTCTAGCTGTTTCCCTAGAAACCTTATAAGGTGGTATCTTAGGTTGTGTTTCCCAGATAAAAGATTTTGAAACAGAGATTTGCATGCAGGAATTTTGCTGGGGACCTCTTGGGATCAACACCTGTAGGAGAGTGAAAAAAATAGAATGGAGTAGGACTTGAACTGTAGTGTAGACATAACAAAAGTGTCGGTTAATCCTATGGTGATCTCTGGATCTGAGATGGCTCCTCAGAGATGTTTTGCCTTAGGCAAGAGACCAATCCTTTGTAGATCCACCAGTCTTTGGATGCATCTTGCCCCAGTGGTGTGATTGTAACCTTAGGCAAGGTAGCTTCCTTTGGCTGTGGGCAGTTTCTAGAGAATGCCTCAGCTAAGGCTATCAGCTGCCAGCATTCCCACAGCTCAGGAAATGAGTGGCTTATACCTGAAGGGATTCTGGGAAGCACACCATAGCGTCCACTCTAAGTGTATGGTTGCTAGGCGGCATTGCTTATGATAGATAATGACCCGTAATTGGTAAACTGCATCAAGATTAGTAGGAATTATAATGGACTATAAATACCATAGCTTTGCTCTTCCCTGAGACTAGTGACTCTTACAATTGGACATGTCTCTGATGGGCAGGGATCCTAGAAGCCATGCCTATGGAGTTATTATAAGAGGTCATTGGTTCCTGTGGGTTGTAAGATTTTTAAGCCAGGATAACTTGTGCATCTGCTCAAGGTGAGTCTGATTCCATCACTCCCGAGTTAACACCATGTGAACTAAAGAGAGTTACTCCTAGAAGGCTGTGTGGACTGCTACAAGAACTGCTGCAGGACTCCCACTTAAAATGAATGTCTGGTGCTGCCTTGCTGGCAAGCTGTAATTCCTACACTGTACCTTTTTAGATCAATGGATATCAGGTGTGGGCCAAAATAGTCTTGAGTGTTTGATAGTTTACTTGAGCCTATAAAAGAACTTCTAGTAGATATTGTAGACATTTTTTCAATTGGATTTTACTTTTTAGAACATATTGCTTTAAAATCTAAAACTAAAGAATAATTTGATGACCTTAGAGTCAGACTGAAGATATTTAAGTATTTGGGGCACATGGATACTTGAGGTTTCTGTTTCCTACTGCGGACAGGCAGGCTACTGTTAACAAATATTGTCTCCATGGACTGTGAAGGAAAAGATTCAGCTATAGTACTAATCTCTGAAGACAGTAGTCTTTATATGTAAACCATAGAAAGAACTGTTGGTTCTTAGCTCTCCTTTAGTCATAGACGGGCCATTTGTGCCTGACTGGCAGTTTCCCTCTTATCCTTGTGAATCACAAGTTTTGCTCATTCTTCCTTTGTAATGACTCATTCCATCCCTTCCTTTCCATTCTCTCTGCTACCACCCTGCGGAGTATCTTAGTCTTTATCATCTCATATATGGATTACTGAACTGCTGTCTGCCTTTAGGCTTTGCCTAATCTGAGCTATATTACCCATGGGATCTCAGACTGAATTCCATGATAGAGTTTTGTCTGGGGTTTTCAGACTACCAATGTGTAATCCAGGTTTGCCTGGAACATAAGGCCCCTGGAAATAGTGAAAGGAAAGGCTAAAAAGGTAGGATTAGAAAAAATGTTAGGTATATGTTTTCGTTTTGTCCATGTATAGAATATTTAGGATCATCACAGGTATTTAAGATATCTGTAAACTATCAATGGGTGGAAACTCTGTTAAGTCTCTCCTTATTCTTGTTTCCATGTTTCTTTTATTGTAAGATAAAATTAGAGTGACCAGGTATCCAGGTTTTCTCTGGATAGTTCCAATTTAGGCCAGTACAATTATTGATAATATCTTTCTTCACTTTCAAAAGTTTGCACACTAAATTCTCTGGTAACTCTAGGTATATCTACAGAAAAGTGCTAAATATGTATGGTTAGTTTAAAGAAACTATGAAGAACACACTTGTGTAATTACCATCCCAGTCAAGAAATAGAACACTGGCAGCCACCAGAAGTCTACTTCCCAGTCACGAATCTGCTCTTTCCTTAGAGTTAACCACTATACTGATTTTTATGATAATCATTTTCCTGATTTTCAAACTAATGAAAGCTAAATTATCAAAGCCTAAAATCCCTAGAAAGATTTCTTTTCAATTACAGTATTATTATTTTATTTATTTTATATCTTAAGTATAGGTAATTTCATATTTATTTTACTAACAGATAATCTTTGAAAGTATGTTTGTATTTTAGTATATGACTATAAGTTTACAGGTAATCAATATGAAGATAAATGTGTTTTTATTATTTGTTTATATGAAGATTTGGTGAATGAGAAGACACAGCTTTTGGCTAAATAGAATGTGATAATCTAATAAGTAATTACAATACAAATCTTTCAGTTCAGTAATGGGAAGCATGCACAAGATGCTGTTAGAGGACATTACCTAACCTTGGGAGTGATAGGGAAGGCTTCCTAGAGGAGGTTATAGTTGAGTACTGAAGACAAACAGGAATTATGCAGTGAAGGTGGTAGGTGAAGTGAGGGCAGAACACGAGGGTCACCTTCTAGACCAAGTGACAGAAATGTAAGGCACAACTGGGTTACTGCAAGTTGTTCCCTGCAACCAGAACAGAGAATGTGTTCTTTGTGGTTACTAAGGAAGCAGAGGTGTCTTTTGATTCAAGGTATTTTGCAGGACAGTGTTAAGAGTTATAGTTCAAGAGATAGACAAAAGTCTATCATGAAGAGCCTTGAATGCCATACTGAGGAATTTGAAGTTTATCCTAAGGGCCATGAGAAACTTTGGAGGGTTCTAAGCAGAGAGTGAGTGACTTGGTAACAGTGATCATATTTGCATTTTTGAAAGGTTGTTCTAACTACAGGATTTGAGAGAGCATGTAAATGGGCAATCCAAGAGGCAGGGAAACTGGGTTGGAGACTGTTGTGGTCATCCTTTTGTGAAATGATGGTGGCTTGACCTAAGCCAGAGAAAATGGGACTGGAAAGAAGGACAGATTTAAGAGACAATTGAAGACAGAATCAACAGAATTTTAATGATCGACTGTATGAGGAATTTGAGAAAGAGAGAAATAAAAGATGACACTCACATTTCACATTTCTGGACATGGGGAGCACAGACAGTGACACAGGTTTGTAGGAGGAAGTTTTTGGTACAGTGTTGGATTGGTTGAAATTGAAATGTCTATGGGACATCCAAAAGAAAATCACCATTAAATAGTTGGCTTTGTAGCTCTGGAGAGAAACTTAGGGCAGAGATAGACATTCAAGAAAGATAGCTCCTGGATGGCAAATGAGGCCAATAAGTTATTATAAAATTTCTAAGATGGGAAATATGAATAAATTGTATTTATTGTATAATATCCATGACATTCTTAGGACATTTGTCTTTTAGTATTAAAACTTCTAAGAAATATTTGTATAAAACATTTTCATGATCTGTTTTAGTTCTTAGAAGTTTTTGGTTTTGATCAGTATTGTTTAGTGGTTTTGTTTTTCTTATTATCCAGGTTTTGGCTTTAATCACTATGTGTCAGCTATAGAAATAAATGCGGCAAAATGAGGTTATTACAGAACTTTCAGAATATAAGCAATATATTTACATTTGTTAGGATTTAACAAGTTAGGAGAAATGTAAAAGCCTTTATGTTTACATATATTTAGGTTTCTCCCAGTTCTTGAAATAAAATACGTGGAGAAGTGCTCTTAGAAAAAAAGTATATGTTTAAAAAAAATTTTCAATAGAAAATATTCATTAATCATTTTTTCCTTATTTTCAGCTAAAGAGATACTTAAAATCTTATCAATCAAATAATTTAGATGCATAACATAAACATTTTCAGATATAAATATAGGAATGTAAATAAATTTTTTCAATGTTACGCTGTTCTATCATATACCACTATAACTTTCTGCCATATAATTCTGATGTACTTAGATATATGAGGGTACTTCAAAAAGTTTGTGTAAAGATTCATATTATCTTTTAATATTTTTTCCACAAACTTTTTGAAGTACCCTCATATTTTAATATCTCAACTATACCTAGAATGTTTCTACTCAAAAATGTGTTTATTTTAAATATTTTGTTTTGGAAGATTATAATAGCAGTTAAGCTTAGCAATAATTTACTAATAGTTTAATACTGATTTATTCTCTCATTTGAATTTTCAATGTAGTTATTTTGCATTGTCTTTATTCTGAGTAAGCTACAACCATCTTATTTCTTATGCTATGTATGAAAGCATATAATTTAATTGTTGATTACTATGATAATAATTAGATATATTATATAATGTATGATGTTTGTTTTCTGTATAGGAAAATGGTTCTCCTGAAGAACATGCAATCTATGTTTGGGATCATTTCATAGCCCAATCTGCAGCTGAGAATGTATTTTTTGTTGCTCACAGCTATGGAGGACTTGCTTTTGTTGAACTGGTAAATATACATTTAACTCTATTTTTAATCCCCGTGTCCTTACGGATTTATACCCTCTTCTTTTTTCTTGGTATCATGACTTTATAAGGGATGAAAATAAAATATTTTGAGTAAATAATTTTATGATATTTGAAAACAGTATGCTAATTTATTTTATAGTGACAGAGCTTTTCAATGCTAACGGGAAAGCTTTTTGCCTATTCCTTGTTTACATATTACTTTTTAATTTCTACATTATAGTCCCAGTTTCCATACATTTTATGATATTTCTGTTTCCTGTTTTATGTTTACACCATTGAAGCCTATGTTATCTGTAAAGTATCTTAAAATTTAATGAGACACTTTGAATACTTGGGAATATTTGGATAATTTTTAAGTGACTTTTATTTCTACTAGTTAGTGTTTGATACTTCATCAGATACTAGTATTAAAACTTTCAGGAAGCTTTCATTAATCTACTTTTAACTAGAATGCATTGCTTGGCCATAAAAATCTTTGCATTTCAAAATAATCTGATTCCTGGAGTTAAGATTATGTGTACATGATAGAAAAAAATTACCACAATTTCTGAATTTTCCCTGTGTTATATACAATATTACAAGTAACATAGTCTTGTGCCGGTATGGTTAATGTGACAGAATCACTACTAAAAATGCACTAATGAAGAATTCATGCCTCCGTGTTTATAACTTTTTATGTCATGGGAAGGTATCAGTGCCATAATAAAATGATTAGTTTAATAAAAGTGCATTTGATAATTTTAAATCCAAATAGATCAAAGTGGACATTAAAAGCAGGCAAAGAATTGATTGTCTAATTTTTATGTTTCTAGACATTGGTGAGTAATTTCTCTTTGTCATGCAAATTAAAAATATTTCTGTGGCCTTTTTAACCTCCCTACACCTTATTGCTTACCCACATGATTTAGATATAAAACTGGTGGTGACACCTCACACCTGAGAATACATTAGCTGACCTTAAATCTACAAATGTTTGTGCTATCTTAAGATCAATAAATAAGTTAAATAGTTTATTTCTTAAATTGATTTCAGTTTTTAGGGATTATTTTCAAATATTTCTAACTCTGCTGAATTTATTTATTTTGATATATGTAATGGATATCTTAAGATAGCTTTTGAAAATATAAATGTTGATTTTCAAATAATTCCTTTTAACTCCTACAGATATGGATACATAGTTATATAGATATATATACTTTTTATTTTATATATACACACACATATATATGGAGCTTTTTTTGGTAAACCATTAAGTGACTTAAAACATGAAATTTCTTGACTCATAGAGTGACTTAAAGTGTGTCTGAAAGCCTGCAAAGCTAATCAAATTTCAGATTTCTGTAAAACATAAATTTCTATTTTTTTACTTTAACACAGTTTATAAAAACCTTTTGTACACCAAATTTTGGGACTTAAGTGTATTTTGGACAGTTTTTAAAATGAACGTAAGATGCCAGGGTTAACAGATGACCAGTTTGTCAGTCCTATTTTGCCTGTCCTTACTGTCACACACTGGTGGATATTTCTCCACTTTTGTTCCACTTTAATATAAAGCACACAGATGTTTCAGAACAAGACTTGACTTCTGACCTTGAGGCTATTAGGGTCAGGGTCCTCAGGGCCTGTGAAATTATCACAAGCTGAGCTAAAGTTTTTCTCCATCACAGGAAGTAACCAGTAAGTAAGAAGTTAAAAAGGAGCTTTGTCAGAGAGACAAGATGGTCTCAGTAAGGGTCAGCTTCTGTAGTCTGCTATCTCTGCAGGAGACATATGCATGGGAGGAGGAATATAATATAACCACTGGCACATCACATATCTGTCAGACAACGCCAGGGCTGAGAAGTCTATTTAATGTAATATATCTTGTTTAGGTTTTAAAATATTAATGGTGATTACCTCAACTTCATATGTTTGCTACTTTTTGTGAAATAAATTTTATTGGGGTATGTAATAGGGGTGTACAGATGGTGGCAACTGTAGAAAGAGTAGTTCCTCACTTAATAAAATGAATTCCTCTAAGCAAATAACATTGTGCACTGATGATGAGTTTGACAAATTTGATTAATATATTTAAGTCCATTATGTTTTTATTTCAAAAGGCTTTTTAAAAGATAGCATTGTTAAAGAAACAAAAAACATTGAAATGCTTTTACACCTTCTGCTTTTGCCTAAAACTGAATCATATTCTTTTCTGTTCTCACCAACATTTTTAGGGGAAAAGTCATGGTGTTTAAAATGTTGACAAATATTCATTCTTTCAGGATTTTTCAACATAATTTTGTATTTAAAATTGTTTTACTTGGATTCCGAATTTTAGTATTAACTTTATAAGAAACTGAATTGTAAAGATTAGTACATAAATCTTAAATTATGGTTTAGTTTCTTTTCTTAGTAGTATATTATATACCTCAGACATTAAATCCTTTGGATTGTAGTAAAGTTTAATTTTTTTTTTAAATGCCATTAAATTTTACTTCTGGTTAAAGGCTCTACATACACACACACACACATTTCTTAAAGAACTGTCTTAGTTTGTGGCATCATGTTTAAATGCATGGAAATCGTTTTTCTACCATTGCTGTACAAGTGCACATGCTTCCTTAGGTCATGAATTTCAAGAAAATTTATTTTAAATGTAAACTGTATGGCAAGTACTGTTTCACCAATAAATGCAATTACTTATAGTGCTTATTGTTTGAATAACAGGTACCAGTCAGGACCTGTGATGAAATACATCTTGCCATTTACTAAATTAAAATTGTGTATAATTGTAGTGTAAAATTAAATGTGCTGCTAATAGCTGAAGATAAATTACTTTTACATTTAGAGCACAAAATAGTTGTAGAGCTTTCATATTTTATTAATTGTTGATTTTGAAACTGAGAACATAATTTACCATTATTGTATATATGTTGAATTTCTCCTGAAGAGAATACATTATAATAAGAGATTTATTTTCAAAACCAATGTTCATTTTATGGTAGTAAATTTGGAACTTGACCAGGTCTAACCTCATAAAGACAATATACAGTTTACTATAATGAGAAAAGTGATACTAAAAATATGCCTGTCACTGCTTTTGCTCTCATCGTATAGTAAAAACTCAAATTTCCAATTCTCTAAACTTTGTGTCCCTAGTAAAAGTAGATGTTAAGACAGCTCTGGCATTGATTCCAGCTCTCAGTCTTTAAACACAAAAGAAAAGAACTATGTATTGATAATGAATTTTTGAAAATAATATATCTGCCTGTTATCTTTTCTGTGTATTTAAAATAATGCCAATGTATAAAGTTCCAGTTCTTAAACCATCATTTACAAAGCCTTAAATTTCTGTCTTAGAAATTTTATTTTATATGTAATAGAATTAGTAAATATAATTAGAATGCATTCACCAAATTCATTTGGAAAGACATTTACAAATAATGCAGCTTACTTTTGCCTTAGATTAGTTGTTAAAAATTTGGGCTCACCTTTTGAAAATTAACTGACATTTTAAAATAGTGAAGTTTTTTATCTTTTTCATCATTCCTTTCTCCACCACTTTGATGAAGTGATTTCATTACTTCCATTGCTGGCCATTTCAGAGTGCCTTGCTCTTGTTTTTCCAGGTAATGATCAGTTTGGCAAAATCAATTAACCTTAAAATTCTCTTTTATTTGAAAATGAGCTGGCCTTCCTTGTCAATGCCCAGTTACCGATCTTAGTTCACCTTCCCTGTTTTCAGTGCTCAATAAATCAATTTGCATTCAGATTTCTTTCTTTAGCCAAAATAAGAGTGTTTATATTTTTTATAAAACTATTAAACAATTTAGTAAACATATCTCATTAGTTTATTAAATTATCCCAGCCGATAAAATTAGTATTTTTTATTATTACCTTTACTTCCTTTTCCATGTTATTATTGGTAAATTCCCAACCACCATTAAAAGCATCACTTAGAAATGTGTGAAAACAGCTCCTTTTGAAAGTGTATCTCTACCCACTTTTGATTTTGGTTTTTCCATGCTTGTCAGCACTTGATTGGCATCTCACTTGCATGTGAATTAAGGAATGCAGGGAACTCTATTTTCCTGCCATTGTTCCATGCTGGGCTCCCTGGCCTCCAGGCAGCCTAAGCTGCCCTTCAGCAGCTGATAGAGGACTAGTTTTTGGACATAGCTGTGTGAGGACACTCAACCTCAGTCTACTCTCAGTCGATCTTTTAAAATTGCCTGGAGCATGATTTGGATTTATACTGAAGAGAAAATGGAATGGAACTAAAATAGTTTTTACCTTTAGTGACATCAGCTTACTCTGACCTTGAAGATGTATCATTTATATTTTGTTCACAAAGAACAAAGTGAATTAGATATTGGTAGGATATCTGCTTACTGTGATCAATGAGAATAGCTAAAAGTTGTGCTGTTGGTAATTAAGAATTGAGGGAAAGGGAAAAAATGAGAAAAATGGAGTTATAATAGTATACAAATAATTCAGGCTGAAACTCTCTTACAATGTACTTTAAAATCTAGATAATTCAGTAAAAATAAGTTGCCATTTGTAATTTAACTACAAGATACATACTTATTAGTTTTGTTTTAAAGTTATTTTTTATCTCTAAGTTTTGCCTTGCCCAAATGATGTAGAAACACCTTGAGAATAAAGAATCTGATATTGCTTTTATTCCCCCCTGCAAAAAACCAGTTTAAGAACATTATACAAGGGTGCTTCAAAAAGTTTGTGGAAAGATTGTATTATCTTTTAGTTCTATTTTTCTAAACCTTTTTGAAATACCTTCATATATTACATGAGTAGTCTTAAATATCTGCACAGTCATTTGACCAATATATAGAGTTTAAGCTTTAACAGATAACTCTTTTAGTCACTAAACTTATGAATTCTGTGTATTGTACACTTAAATATTGACTGATTTGAGAATTTTACAGCATTCTGGTTAAGTCTGTTATAGTGTCCTCTTTGTTGGTGTTCCCAACTCTCAGT